GGGCCCCCCCCCCCCCGGAGAGATCCAAAATAGTCTATAGCTTTGGGGTTAGGCGTCCACATTTGTTTTGTTGGTTGCACGTTGGGTCACGTCAAGACGTTTCTCGTGGTATCTTATCGAGTCTGGGGCACCATAAAAGTATTGTCATGGTGCGTCATGGTACAGGACCCCATGACAGAGAGCGTCGAATCTCTATTGAGCTGCTGTGGAGTGCCGAGAGCGTCTCCTGAGCGTCTGACGGATCAGCAGCGTAGGTCTATTCCTCGATTCATCATTCATGATGAGGGTTGTGTGTGAACAAAAAAAAAAGGTGGAATACAAAATGTTGGGTCGCCTCTGTCGTACAACAGACAATAGACTGCTGTGCCCATAGAGAAACGGAGGTGACCAAGATATTACAACCCTGGATCGTTATTTGGGGTGCTCGGCAGAGTATACTGTCTACAGGGCCTCCGGGGGGTACGCGGATGGAATGTATTGACGGACACGCTGCATGGCGATGGCGTGGCCTACCGCATGTCTCTCACTCTCTAAGCAACAAGGTCTTAAGTCAACCTTCTTCCTCTTTCGGCCTCTGACGAGCTACCGCACCCAAACACAATATATTGTAAGGCCTGGTGTTGGTAGTGGGTATTGGCGTCTGAGCGGTGGGAGCTGGGCCATCGGGGCAGCGGACACCATTTTCATAGCTGGGATCGCGACCAAAGGGGGCGAGGACAGCAGTGCATAGCTGGTGCGGTGGCCATTGCGGGGACCGGGACAGCAGGGTTTATAGCTGGGACAGCACTTCGAGGCTGGGACAGCAGGGAGGGTTTAGAGTTTTAGTTTGATATGCCTGGAACGGAGGAGGACGCAACTCTGAGCGCGAGTTGGATGAGGCGCTACGAGCTATAGATGTTGCCAAGGCTGAGACGAAGGAGGCCAAGGCTCAGACGAAGGAGGCCAAAGCTGAGACGGAGGAGCTTAGGGCAGCACAGCGGCGGTCTGCGGGTGCACCTGCCGGCAGCAGCTCAGGAGGCGACGGTCTAGTTGCTCCTGGAGGGGCTTCATCTGCACCGGTGAGGCCAATGTGGCCAGGCGGGGTGAGTCATGATGGCGGTACTGGGGTGCCGGGCTTGCCTCTGGGAGGTACAATTGTCAGAACTCCTGTGCCTAGAAT